AGAGGAAGGGAGAGGAGGGGGAGGGGGAGAAGGGGTAGCAAGGGGAGGAGAGGGTGGAAGAGGATGATGCATGAACCAACGAAGCATACGACGAAACCATTGTGTAAGTCTCGTCACATGTGTAGGCTGCCGACGCTGGCGAGCACGAATATAACAAGTCCATCCTCGAGCCAGTGTTGATGGAACATGGCCACGGGAAAGCAAACGGCGGGCAAGCAAAGCTGCTGCCGTTTTAAAATCATGCCAATTGTCACAAATCTGCTCAAACCGCGTAAGCTGGCCAGTGAACACACCTGCAGGCTGATGAGATGGAATGTTTGACGTTGCACTAGGGTACCGTATAACAGGGAAACCCCATGCAACAGTCTTATCATACACACTCAATCGAAGGGATCCATCTGTGTGTGTCTGCAGCTTCGCACCTCAGAAAGTGCAAGAACCATCAGGATCCGTTGTCTCCTTCCATTCTAGACCATAACAGGCTGGCGATGGCGGGAGGCAACCGAAAGTGAGGACATCATCAATGAAACGATAAGTGGAAGCATATTGTCGAGCAGCGGAAGGATCCACACGTTGCAGGTTGTCCACGTACTGCGCCTCATCCCAATAAAGTGTAAGATTAGCAATCTCAGGACCAGCATTTGTCCCCATAGGGATACCGACATCTTGATGACGCACAAGGCCATCCGCTGTATATAAATATGTATTAGTAACAATAAAACGAAGATGTTGAAGAATGTCCGACACAGAAACAGTGTCAGGTCCCGTATTGGTTGTCCACTCCCCTGCACGCGGTCCACGGGCCACCATACGAAGAGCAATACTGGATGAATGTGTCCGTGTATGCTGTTGTGCCTGTGCAAGAGCGTAGGCATGTGCCTCATCAACGGCGTTAGCAACATTGTTCAGAATGCGTTGATGAGGAAGATTAGTATACAAGGTAGTAAAATCAACCGTATGAGGGACCAGACCTCGAAGACATGCTTTATTCTTTTTTAGGTCAAGCATGACCTCGTCACTGCTCTGAACAATCCAACATCGTCGAAGTTGGGAAGAGTGCAGGTCATTTTGCTGGGCCATATGAGAAGAAGAAAGGTTGTTACGGGAACTGATACCAAGAATAGTTCGGAGTGCAGGGGGAGACTTATGGGCCTTAAGCGCGCAATAGAGATATGGCCATGTGTCAGCATGAGGGTAATTCCAATGATTGTTCCAAAGTGCATGGCGATTCATAATATCGGCCACTGTTTCCGTAGGTCGGGAATATGTAGGACGGTCAAGATGAGTAGAAAGATGGAAACGATACCGGTCCTTGCAACAAATCGCCAAATTATGTGATGTCTTGTCCACAGGAACAATCGCAAAGGAATCTTGAAGCTGACGCAGAGCCACATGTGCGTGTCGCCGAGCGCGGGGTTGCCCAAAAGGTATTGCAGTAGTCATATTGGACTCACAATGGCGCAAAACTGCGGCACGCCAAAGATGCAATTGGTGCGCAAGGGTAGCAGCGGAGGATTGTCGTGATGACGGCCGAAGGTATGCAGCGATATACTCGTCAATACCAACAGCCAGTGCCTCAAGTACATCCCCTACTGCCCCATTCAGCCGATATTTAGAGCCCTCATAGAATAGACGCCGAAGATTAGCATCCGAAATCAGATCATAGTTGGCGGAAACAACATGGCCGTCAACCAAATCCGTGCAATTAGGAAAGACCCGGCGACATGGACAGTCAGCAGCAGCAGGAAGGCATAGGCCCCGAGTAACACTCAAGGCAACCTCCGTAAAGTTACAAAATTGCACCCTTGTGGGGGGTACAAGTTTATCACAAACACGAATAGTGCTGGCTGCATGGGGGTCCGGGTGCAGTGCACGCACGTCTGAAGAGTGCAACACCTGTCGCAACTTTGTGGCGTTCAGAACCTCGTGCATATGGACAATCCTAATATAGTTTCCGAAGCTATCACGGGGCCGAGCAGTATATCGCTGTCGGACATGTTGAGATTGTCGAATAAGACATTCAAGTTCACGGATGTCCACGGTCATGGCAGAATTAGGAACATTTATATACAGCCACTGCAGCAAACGAGCGCGGCGGGCAGGCGTAGCCTGCTGAAGAAAAGCAGCAACTTCGGGCCAAGCACCCGCCGCACCTAACGACAATAAATGCCGCAGCGTGGTTCGCACTGCTAATTGAGGGCCCGGGCTAATATCAATAGTAAAGGCCCGAGAAGATGAAGGATTAGGAGAAGAAGCATCAGAGCGAGAGGAAACAGCAGAAGAAGGACCAACTTGCCGCCAGTGATCAGGGCGTGGCTGCCGTCGAACAGGCGGTAATCGAGGCATAGGGAGGACTGCATTAAAACCCGAAGGATGCAGGGTACGAAGCCGTCGAACCCAGAACCCTTCTCTAGGTGAAGCCGCCCGTCGGAAAAGGTCATGATCAATCTCACCACGATTATTAATGTAGAGCACACGATCAATGCGTTCAAGTGGCCAAACAGCAAAATTAAAAGGAGATTGTTGTCGCATAACGCGATAAAGGTGCCGATGACGATAATCGGCAGCAGAGTGTCGCACATGCCAATGCTCCTTCAGACGTTGATGCGCAGTATGAATTGTCTGGCCAACATACAAACGCCCAGAGGGTATATGCACAACAGCATAAATGACTCCAGTAACAGAAAGAGGATCATTACCTGGTTGGAGGAGCTGTTGGTCAATACCTCTCAACTGGAGTTCAAAGCGCTCAGTTGCGATGGCAGCATCTAGCTGTTGCAACCGCTTCTTTTGCCACGTTCCTGCAGAATACAAATCGGTATTCCTGCGAAAGTGGGCAAGCCAGTCAACCCGTTGCCGGTTAGCGACGGGGGGATTTTGACGTCGTGATCGAAGAGAAGGAAGCGGTGCTGTGCCTGTCGCGCCACCAACAGGAAGAATCCCGAATGAACCAACCCCCTGATTTATCTGTAATGGTAACGCCATATTTTTGTCAAAAGGGATTACGATATATATATATGGGAAACAATAACAACTTAACAACTCAATAGCCTTGTCATATTTTAATCCCAAAGCATGGCATTGTTTCACGATGACCCTTAGAGGGTTCATTTCAATCAAGAATTCGCCCTGGAATATGAGGGGACATGAGGGTGATGGTATGAAGGAGACGATCATACATAATACATACAACTCTCTCTCTCTCTCTCTCTCTCTCTCTCTCTCTCTCTCTCTCTCTCTCTCTCTCTCTCTCT